GATGCCGTTGTCAATCACATCAACCTCAATGAAGATGATGACGACGATACTGGTATATTCAGCATCGCTAACGGCTGCTCCAGTGAGGGCGTCATCGTCCTCACTGGTGAGATAACGTTCTTTCTGCAGCACACACGAAGCGCACTGCTGTTATCAAGGATGAATCAGCAGAGGAACTTCTGATGACTCGCGAAGCGGTGTCTGCTTTGTTCAAGACTACATTTCAAATTCAAGAGACAAGCAGAAAAGAAAAGCAGATAAACATGGAAGATCAAATGTTCTTTCATCAATGAAGGAGGTTTAGTTTTACTTTCACAGTATATCTACCAAAACAAGCAGTGACAAACGTGGGCAGCAGTAAATTACTGCCCAAGTACTTTGGTTCATTTCGTGCTTTGCGCCGAGTGAACATCGCATACACGATTGAACTGCCTTGTAGGATGCGTACGCTTCCTACATTTTACGCTGGACGTCTCCATCCGTACTATCAGTACGAGACCGTTTCGAGAGGCGAAGAACCCTACGCATCCAGGGACGAGACCACCTTCGAGTGGTCTCGTTTCAACGAGCCAGTCTGGTCGACTAGCGGACCGACCTGCTCACGCAGTTGAGCGATGTCCTGACGAGATGACTTCAGCTCGTCACGAAGAGAACGAACCGAACGTTCTCTCTCAACTGGCGCAAACGCAAACAAGGCACGATCGTTCGAGCGATCTTGCGCTAAGATAGTGTAATTATCCTTTACAAGATCATGGAGCTCATAACGCTGAGTCCGTTCATGAGCCAGGTCATCGTGTAACTGTTACGTTACACGGTTCAGTTCCTGAACATCAAGCTGATCCGACCCTCAAGCCGGATCAGGTGTTCTCGCCACCACCACATCATTTGGTGGACTCTGGCGGTGGTCAACGCTTTCTGGTGGAACGCATCTTGTACAATCGCGAAGTGAACGGCGTCCGGACGAGTTACCTCGTCCGCTGGCGTGGCTATCCACCGGCGTGGGACAGCTGGGAGCATCGTGCCCAGCTGATTGTTGATGTCCTGGATCTCGTTGATCAATATGAAGAGACGCACCCGCTGCGTTTGAAGAAGGGCCGTCGGAAAACGCCCCCCCCGAACTTGAGTACAGGGATTGCAAAGTGCCAATCCTTTTGGCCATCTCAGAATAGATGCGCACCCTCCAGTAGGGATCATTAGGGAGGTAGGCCTCCCTAGGGGCCCGATTAGCATTGTCCAGGCAACCTGGACACGGTAGCCCCACGAGAGACAGGGTAATCCTGCTTCTCTTGACAGCCGGTGCAACTTGTACCGCACCCCGACTGGGTTACGCTTCTCAAACCTGATGCGAGCTGCATCAAGTTTATCGAGCCAGGCCTCACGGCCAATGCACTAGATGTTATGGATGAAAGCATCCATCCTTGCACCGAGGCCTTACCGTCTCGACCGCGGTTGCCATTGTACCACCGATGTTTGGAAAACGCATTGGTAAAGAATTTTACCTCAGAACGGATAGTTTCCGTGCTGAAATTAGGAGAGCACACCCTCCTACAGTCGAACAACGGGATTCGATCCCGTACGGTGGTCATACCGGCCACTCCGTCTACCTTTTTGGATGACGGCATCCAAGGAGACTCCATTTGAGGGGCATGGCGCAGAACATTGCGGTCCCTCGCCTCTTGATTGGTGTCGGAATGGCCACTGACACCAGTGGCAGCTCTATCTCTCGAGTTGATTCTCTCGTGGTGATGCATAGGGGCATCACCACCATCTTCACGCGTCCTATAGTTGGATGGACTCGCGTGAGACGAGGATTTGTCAGAAGAATCTCTCGGTCCGAAGATCTCGGACATGATGCCGCCACGCTCCCCGGAGCCAGTCAGCCTGGCTCTGGCAATGTCCGGCCCGGGTTATCCGGAGACGTGAGGTGTCGCCTTCGAGTCGGATGCATCATCAGACTCGCCAGAATGGATGAGCTTTATTTCAGGCTCATCCACATTGCAAGTCGCTGCACCAGCAGCATACGCAGGGATGTATCTGTCGTACGTGGTGACTCACCACGTGGAAAGTTCGCAACAAGCACCGACTGTTGCTGAATTGAAACAGCGGGCGAAGTACCACTTGCTGATAAGTCTTGAGAAGTGATATATTCGGTTGCACTAATGCGTGCATCTGACTTTCTGGATGCTTCCGCAGTGCACCGCATATATTTCGAAACCATGCGATGAATTGGCAAATGAGTTAGAATTTGACCAACAAGTGCTCCCCTTTCTAGAGTGATCCAACGGTGGTCACCCTGTCATAATCAGAAAAATTAAATCAATAAGTGACTGGTGGTTAAGGGGGGAAGTGATGTAACGGGGTAGCTGGTTACATGACATTGACACCAAACGGTGTCAATAGGGAGATTGTCAATCGCGACAATCTTCTGTCAATATAACCCGATATAGAAAAGAGTGAAGGAATTTTATTCCCTTTGTAGGACATATTCATGCGCTGCTCAAAGATTGGTTGATAAAGACATATCATTCAAGGTGACCACCAATCGCTGCCAGACGCGCGTAATGAGTGATGAGCAGGTTGTCGTCAAACGACAATGTAGATTAATATACAGTTAGATAAAAGCTGAAGTCACGTTGACAGCTTAACTAATTTAGATACAGTTCTTTTTTTACCCTTCACTCAAACTAGCTGTTTAAGCATTGATTACCTTCCTCTCCACGCACTAGTGTACGTAAATTTCCGCGGCACCCCAAACAACGGGTGCCCCGTTACAGGCGGTAAGTAACGCAATTTGGACGTGGTCTGCCAACAAATTGGAGTGTGCAGGCAAATGACAGAGCCAAACACAGCTGCTTCCAGTTGGAAAGCCGATAAATAAATTGCACGATCATGAATATGGTGTGATGCACGCTTTTCGTGTCCGGATACTCGTAAGTTACTGGGGTTACGCGCACACATATACTGCGTACGTACTTAATCGGATGCCGACGAGGGCCAACGCAGGGCGTAAATCACCTCTTGAGTGCTTGAACGTGACGTCAGCGAGTATTGTCGCTGGCGTCACGGATCTTCTTCGGGTCCCCTTGCAACGTGTTCCAAGTACCGAAGAATAAATACGCTGGCAAGCGCAGTACAGGGGAGTGGTTCCTGGTAAGAATGGAAAACAAAAGGGTATTGGGCTGTGTTACCGAGTAAAAGCAACGTCATGACCACGCGGAACATCGAACAAGTCCAGATATTGACATAAGAGGCAAACAAGGTCCTTTAAACGAGCGCTCGAATCAGGGGACGATGACGACCTCGAGCAGTTACCCCGGGCTCACGAACAGCAGCGACACGTGGACGAACCTCCTTTACAAGCTGAAGCCACGCGGCCAATTTCGCGTCGGACAACACTGAAGCGGGTCGTCACCCAAAGGTAGTGTACACTGCGACCAAGAGTTTTGTTCCAACGACCGTTGACAAAACGTTATGTGACACAAATATCAATCCTGATATTGATATTGTGCCGTGAAGTTAGGGTCGCACACGCTGGAAATCCATACAGAAGAACGAGACAGGTAAGACACCAGTGACCGCTAGGCCTAGCGGCATCGCAAGCGTGGTGCCTCAATCTTTGACCCCACAATCCACCGCCCCTGTAGCTGCGGGCGCAATGGCTCCAGTAATTGATATGTCGACTTGAGAAGAAAAGGAGGAGGAGTTTGCTTTACTACCGTAACCTTAAACCTACATAGCGTTGCTATCTTCGCCCAATGCCCACTTGTGGGCACATACACGGGCGGAGGAGACTGCGTCACGCGAGGAGAACAATGCGTAGTAGCTCATTAAATGAGGAAGCAACATGCACCCATTAAAAAGCATGTGGTTCCTACAGAAAAGAAGGACGGAAACGGCGCTATCGAGCGTTACAAGGAGAGATGAGTCGCAGAAGGAGAGATTCTGCTTCTTGGACGTGAATATACCTTCACGTTAGTGCAGTACTTGACATGACGAGCGATAAGTTGCTGCTGACTGCGGCTCGGAATTGAAGAGTAATCGCAAGGCACTACGACGTCCCAAGTTCTCACCTTAAGGCATACAAAGAAAATGTTTTGAGATTTATTTGCGACTTCCAGAGGACATGACGCTAAGTGACGACGAACTGCGCAAGGCTGGCGTGATAGACGCAAGCAAAACATGCATGGGTCTCGTAAAAATGCTCAAGCGATCTAAACCAAGCCGGAAGAATGTGGAATGAATTTTTTGCACTGCACGTGAAAGGAAGCAGGAAACACGCAATCAGTCATTGATGCATGTGTATACAAAAAATTGCTGTGCAAGGCACCGGTGTGATTGGAGCTTATGTAGAAGACCTGCTGGCGGTCGCGACGTCAAAGGAGCTACTTTGAAAACTTGAATGCGCAAAGGGAAGCTTGAAACTTTATAGCATTTGTGTAACGGGGCACCCTGAAGCTTGTACTGATGACAGTACACGCTACTTATTCTGATGACAGAATAAGGCGGTGCCTCGGAACTTTACGTACACTGGGACGTGCAGAGGAACACGGTAAGGAGAAGCAAGTACTTGGTTAAAGTAAAAAGTAGAACTGTATTTATAATAGTTAATGTCTGTTAATAAACCACTGTTTATCCTCATCTAACTAAGTCTAGATACAAATGTGTACATCAACTATCTACTCACCACTCATTGCGTGCGTCTGTCGTGGCGTGTCTTCGTTGGTTGATATAATGGCCTATATCAACCAATTAGGAACTACTCGTAAGTGCTGCAGAATATTTGTCCTTATGACAAAATTCTGTGAATGTTACTCTTGTAGTTATATTCTATTAACAATTATAAATTGTTATGTAACGATTCACCCCGTTACATCACCCCCCCCTTAACCATCAGTGACTGATTGACAAAATGGATACTCGTCCCAAATCATTTGGGACAGGGTTTGCACTTGTTGGTCCGAGTCCACATTTCATCAGTTCATCGCATGGTTAACAAGCCCATGCGGTGCGCAAACAAGGCCGCTGAGAGAGCGTCTGCACGTCTCTGTGCAGACGCCGTAGCAGAAACCGCTGCAACCGATTTGTCATCGGTTGCTAAAGCGTCTCAGCCTGTATCACATGGTGATGCAGAAGCTCGTCATGAAGACACTCATGTCTTCACAGAGTATGAGCTTGGTGTCTCATACTCTCCTGATACGGAAGACGGATCCGTATCGACGGCGATCAAAACCAAGCCGCCTGCCAAGCGTGGCATGGATGATGCTGCGCTTTGTAGCATCTTTGGTTCATCTGACGAATCAGATGAACCATCGCCAAAGTGAAGGCGCTCGAGGTCGCAAGACTCGGGCGCTCACAGTGATGTCGGTTCTCCTATTGACACCACTTTGCAGCGAGGTGCCAGTACTTCTGTCGGCACGTCGCAGGAAGAGCGGGACCGCAACGTGTTGCGTCTCGCTCCCGAGAAGATGGCACGGATGCCTCCAAAATCCGTCATGGATCATGGATCACTTGTCGGCGACGACGAGTGATCGCTATCGAACACGGTTGTTCGATTCGTCAAGGATCCATCACCTTGACCCCATTTCGAAAGACTATCGCACTGAACATGAGTTCTTCATCGATGCTTTCTTTAAGCATCGATACTACAGTGGGAATTACAAACGTGATGGTCCCTCACTGCTTCAAGCGTGGAACGCCTACATCCATAACCTTGAGGATGTAGGTCGTGACGTTTGGAGCGACAAACTTATCAAAGCTCGTGATAAGTTTGAGAGGAGAATCCCGACAGGTGCACGCAATAAGCTGCATCGTCTGTTAAGGGAGAAAGGATTACCCTGTCTTTCCTGGGGAGACGATGCCCTTGTTGTGTGAACAACTCTGCGCGCGCACCTAAGGAGGCTTACCTCCTTGATAGCCCGTGGTGGCGCGTATGTATCTCTACTGAGATGTATGAAGGGATTGACAACCTGAAATCCCTTTACGACCGTGCCGGGAAGAATTTCTCCAGCGGTCCTTCTGCGGCACAGGATGTGCCGCGTCGTACTGCTCGACCAGACCCAGTACGTCAACCATCAGTTGGGAGCGGGGCTCCCAAGAATCCCAGGACGGGGGATAACCGCGCCACTGGACGAGATAACTCGTCCGACGTCCGTTCACGTCGCGGTGGTTCAACAGCTGATCAACCAGATAGCGCTGGACACCGCGAGAGTACTCTCATGGAGGTGGAGGAGGAGGGAAGACGCTCTCCAAACTATCGTGGGGAAGCGTGTGTTCCCGAGAGCCTCTTTGATCGCGTAACGCAAGGGTTACGCGGTGATCTCGAACATGAGCGGGACAGGCGTCTCCAAATGGCGGACACTGTCTTGGAGCATCAAGCTGAGTTTGCCTTTGCTCAGCTTGAGAACGAGAGAGCTCTGACATCTCTTCGTGACGAGCTAAGGGTAGCTTGTGTGGATATTGACCGGTCTCGGGATGAGATAACTGCTCTTCAGACCCTTGTCGATGGCCACCATCGGGAGCACAAGGATCTCTGTGAGATGCTTGAACGCAAGGAAGTTCTTCATCGGAAGGTGCAGCGTACTGATGGTATGGCTTAAGCCGACCAACGTAAAACGTGGGATGCGTTCGCATCTTACGTGGTAATTCGATCGTGTATGCGTTGCCTAGGTGATGCAATACACGAAATGGGCCGATGTACTTGGGTAGAAGTTTACTACTACACAAGTTAGTCACTACATGCTTTGGTAGATTAACCGTAGACAGTAGGACTAAGTCACCTTTGTTCAATAAAAGAGTGTTTGCCCTTCCATTCTTGTCAGCGTTTTGCTTTTGCTAATCCACCGCTTCGGCGATGGAGTCTTGCACAAAACGGACTACCCGTTTCACGAGCCAGTATAAACTCATCGGAAGACTCGTTAGCTTCAGTGCGCTGTGAGTGCACTGCAACAACATCAATCTTTTCTTCAGTGAGGGCTTCCGCACTCTCACTGGCATCATCTTCTTCGATATCGATGTTATCGATATCGGCATCAAACGCAATAACCTCATCGTCAGCGCGTGATAAGCGTGAACCAAATCGGTTTTTGCTCGCGCGAGTCCCTCCCCCCCTTAAACCAGAGTTACACTCTAGTAAGGTGGGTACACGCGGATGGCGAAAGCCATTCACGTAAAACGGTGTATGTGTCGTGGACGCATGCACCGAGTTGTTGATGGCAAACTCTACCATTGGCAATGAACTCACTCCAAATCCTTAAAGGAGTGTACGTATTCTCGAAGCATCTCTTCAAGGACACGATTGGCACGTTCCGTCTGACCATCTGACTCTGGATTATCAGATGTCGACATCTTCAAGCGCGTTCCGAGTGATTTGAACACGGAACGCCAGAAATCAGCAGTGAAGCATGGATCTCTGTCTGATACGAGTTCACGGGGTAACCCATGAAGTCGGAAGATGGTGTCGATAAAGACACAAGCACAGCCACGTGCTGTGATTGACTCGGGTACAGCCACAAGGTGTACCATTTTGCTGAATCTGTCAACGAATACGAGAATACCCGTATCCCCGCGTGCGTCTTTGGGTAATTCGAAGACAAAATCAATTGAGATGGATTCCCAGAACTCAGCCGGAACCGGTAGAGGCTGTAAAGGTGCACGCAGTGAAGGACTTGACTTCACTCGTTGACAGACTTCGCATGCGCGAACATACTTTCGCACAAACTGATACTGGCGGGGCCAGTAAAAGTCTCGACTCACCGTGAGGTGTGTTTTCTCCCGGCTACGATGTCCTCCTATAGGAGCATCGTGATACTCGAACATGATCCGCAAACGCAGATCAGTATCATCTGGGATGACAACACGTGGTGTATCACCAGTAACGGCTGTATAATACAGTACACCGTTGCGAGTAGTGTATCGATCTGATGCAGATCGATACGCAGACGACAATCGTTTCAACGATTCCTTAGTTGGGAGTGAGAGATGTATCAACAACTTCACAATCTCACCAACTTGGGCGTACGCCCGCCTCACATCATCATGTGACGTTGAAGATGGTACTGAGGACGTCATAACCGCAACAGTGGCTGTCTCACTGTTGGGTTTCACGACTGGTTCAAAGTCGGGCCGACGTGAGAGTGCATCAGCGACAACATTAAGTCGTCCTGGTTTGTACTATACCGTAAAGTTGTATTCTGCAAAGAATGACAACCACCGCGCCATTCGTTGTGAAAGGTGCGGGCTGTTCACTGCCGTGCGTAACGACGCACGGTCTGTGTGAACAATGAAGGGTCTATATCCTAATAGATAGACTCTAAACTTCGCGAGTGCATACTTCATGGCAAGGAGTTCCTTGTCATGCACTGGATAGTTCCGCTCAGCTGGTTGCAGCTGACGCGACTGATAGCAGACGACGCGTTCAACGCCTTCAAGATCGTACTGCATTAGTGCACAACGATTGCAAAATCACTGGCATCACAGACCACATGAAATGGCCTTTCCTGGTCGGCAATTGCTCGGACTGGGGATTGTATCAAGCTCTGCTTGATACCATCAAAGGAGCGCTGACATTCAGCGTTCCATAACCACCTGTCGCTCTTTTTCAACAAACGAGAGAGGTACACAGTCATCTCGGCGTAATTGCGTGAATACTTGTGCAAATACACCGCTAGCCCAAGGAATTTTCGAAGACCTTTGACATCAACCGGCACAGGCCAGTCGATGATCGCCTTGATCTTTCGGGATCAGGACGTACACCGTTCTTACCAACGATGCACCCAAGAAGTGGTATTTCGCTTGCTGCAAAAATACACTTCTTGAGATTGGCATACAATTGATGCTTTCGCATGATTGTAAGAACCTGTCGGACGTGGTATCTGTGAACCTCAACATCCGACTTTTCATACATAGCCCGACTATGGATGAATACGTCATCGAAATAATTCGGCGCGAATTCTTCTACTGGTCTCAACAGATATGTATCACATCTGTTGAACGTGGCAGGGGCATTACTAAGCCCTTGTGGCATTACTAGCCATTCCCAGAGCATGCCGCTAGGCGTGCTAACTGTGGTATAGGGTATATTCCCTTCTCACATAAGGATTTGATAGAAGCCACCCATCAAATCCATGGACGAAAAGATGGTACTCTTTGACATACCATCAATGATTACGTCCTTCTATGGTATCGGCGTCTGAGCCGGTACCGTTGCAGCATTCAACTTGTTAAATGCATGCAAAATCCGCCACCCTCCTGTCGCTTTTCGCACACAGAAGGTCGGAGAGCTATGTGGGGAAGTTGATTCCCTCACATGGCCCGCAGCTAATCGATCGGCAAAGAACTTGTCGATCGCAAGTACTTGTTCACGAGGCAGTGGCCACTGCTTCAGGACACAGTACTTCGAGCCTGGTTTAAGCTCGACCTCGTGTCGAATACCTTTATCCTTCGGTAATTCGCACGGAACAGTTTCAGGTAATGCATCCTTGAATTCAACCAAATCCTCATAGAGATGATTTGTCTTGAGCGATTCCCACGATTGGGAGTCATATCGCTCAACTCGTGTCTTTTCATCTAGGACACTCTCGTCCATCGATGAACTACTGAGAACTCTCTCGTTCTCAGTAGGCATTGTTGCTGACCTTGTGTCGGCTACACACTCGTCTTCAGCGACGAGTACGCAGATCTGCTTGACTTTGCCACTACGCAGATCACGCAAGAACCTTTTATGTTCGAGCGTTGGAAACTGAGTGATCTCCGAAGTCAACTTCGGAGGCGCAATCAGATCAAGTGTGTAAGTGCCTACACTTGATCCGTTATTGACTATGACATTCATTGTCTCTGTCATTTCCTGGGGACTTATTCCCTCAAGCCTCGAAGGACTTATTCCTTCGGCTTCCCGGGGACTTATTCCCTCGGGTTTCGGGGAACTTATTTCCACCGTATTTGTACTATCGGGACTTATTTCCTTAACTTCCTCTAGCTGTGGTTGCGCAACCACAGCGAGATCCTCTACGAAAGACTCTCCAGTCGATCTAGGATTATCGTTTCGCTTAACCTGAGCGATCGATTGTTTCTCTTCTAGATGTTCCCCGCTAGGGATACATCTTTGTCCCGGTCCACTCGACTTATTCGAGTGGTGGACCTTCGGCGCAGCCTGTGTTTCCTCACAGCCGCCGGAACTTTGCTCCGAAGTGTAACCGTTTGTTACACTAAGGTTTTGTGCAGTCGTACTAGCGACCGTACCACAAGTGAGGCCATCGCACTCACTCGTAGTACATCCACACGCTTGGGGACGATCCAAAACGTTCATCAGATGGCCATCTGATGAACAAGCGGCAGGCATCGTTACTGTTCGACGTTGTCAGTTTACCCGTGGTTCGTACCCTTCTGAGCCACGGTATCCCAAGGATGACATCAAATTTGACATCCAAATCCAAAACGACAAAGTCATCGTCATATTAGGTATCTTCTAGCGTATAGTGAATCTTCACTATACGCTTCATGACGGTTACGGATGCGCCTGTCGCAAGACGTACTGTCATCCTCGTAGGAGGTGTGTCACATTCAACAAACTAGAAGCGACCATCTTCTAGCGATTGGCGTTGCACAAAATTGTTAGACGCCCCACTATCGACTAGAGCTCGAAGAGACAACCTATTTGTCACTTCGAGTTTCAAGGTAATGAGTGAGATCTCATTACCTAGAGCAGCAACGCACAACGTTTGTGTGTTGGGAGCAACCTTCGTCAAGAGGCCTGCAAATTCTCTTGACGTTGCTGGACCAGTAGGGTGCTCCACACCTACTGATCCTGTCCGTTTTTTTTGACGGTCCATCCCGTTGTTGCGTCTTTTCACCAACAGCGGACCCGCGTCCCTGCCCCTTTCTCATGGGTGGACGGTCACTACGCCCAGTGTCGCGAGACACTGGACGAGGGGCACTACAATCGTAAGCGTAGTTTCCTGTCCTTTGACATCTGTTGCATTTCTGCAACTTTTAGTAGCCTGTAGAGTGAGCCTTCTCGCTCTCTCAATTACAGAGTTCCATCGGCTCTGGACCTCCGCTGTCATATCGTCTCGGTTGACGGTATGATGTCGAGCTGGCGCGAGCCTGTCTCAGACTGAAGACTTCCTGTTCTGCAATGGAAATGGCTTGTTCCAGTGAATCTAGTTCAAGTCGGAACAGGTGAATCTTGACGGGACCATCCGCAAGACCCTGCATGAACACCGAAACCAACGTGTGATCATCAACTGGGTTGGAGCTTATACAACTTGTGAGATTTCGTACATGTTGTGCGTAAGCGTGTACATCACGCTTACCTTGTTCGAGCTTCAAGAGTTCAGTTCGAGCTTTGAAATCAGCTCTAGGCGGTTCAAACGTTTGTCTGAGCCGCGACTTGAAGACTTCCAACGACCCAAACGCATATGGGTCGTGCAACTTGAGCCCCAAAGCCCAAGTCTTGGCACGTCCTGCCACATTTGATTGGTCAAATGCAACTTGCATATCCCCGTCGTCGATGCGACGCGCCCTTATGGCGTCATCCAATTCGACGAACCATCTCAAGAGGGAGTCCTCTTCGGCTCCCCTATACTTGGAGATGTCAATCTTCAAAGTCTCGGGTCTACGCGAATGCATCGACCCACCAGCAGCAGCCTGCTGCTGTCTCAACAGTTCAAACTGTTGAGCACCCTGCTCTCTCAACAACTGTGATTGTTGAGAACCTTGTTGGTGAAGCAAGGCTACATTCTCGCGTTCAGCGTCAAGTTCATTTTGAATGAACTTGGCGATAGTAGCATGTTGGGCATCTCTATTGAGAGCCTCTAGCATGAAGCTAACAGCATGGATGCCCATGGTTGGACCCATCCGTTCAACCACACCCCATTCGACATTACTCAAATGAGAGTAGCCGCCACGCGTAGCGTGAAAGCTTTGGTCATCTTCATCATCTAACATATTCATGCTAGATGTGAACGTGGTCCTTGGACGGACTACGCAGTGCTACCAGGTGTAACGGGGCACCCTGAAGCTTGTACTGATAACAGTACAAGCTACTTATTTTGATGACAGAAAAAGGCGGTGTTTCGGAGCTTCACGTACACTGGTGCGTGCAGAGGAAGACGGTAAGGAGAAGCGAGTACTTGGTTAAAGTAAAAAGTAGAACTGTATCTATAATAGTTAATGTCTGTTAATAAATCACTATTTATCCTCGTTTAACTATGTCTAGATACAAATGTG